CACCACAGGGTCTCCAAGGCTGTCAGTCTTCACAGAAGCAAAGCCCAAACCACACCCACTGCCGTGGAGTCCATTCTGACCCACAGCGCCCCTAGGGGACAGAGTGGAACTGCACCACAGGGTCTCCAAGGCTGTCAGTCTTCACAGAAGCAAAGCCCAAACCACACCCACTGTTGTGGAGTCGATTCTGACTCACAGCGCCCCTAGAGGACAGAGTGGAACTGCACCAGAGGTTTCCAGCACTGTCATCCTCATGGGAGCAGATGGCCAGGTCTTTCTCTCATGAGTCACTGGATGGGTTCAAACCGCCAACCTTTGGTTAGCAGCCAAGTGCCTAACGGTTGTGCCCCCAGAGACTCTTCCAAAAAACAGGTCGTAGAAATTAATAGATAAATGAGGTCAGAAGAAGTCAGTCACACTGTGGGGTTTGTGCCTATGTTTCGTAAACTGTGTCTTAAGAACTACGCCTGAGATCTTGTCTATGAGCTGGCTGGCTAAGGGTGCTGCTGAATAAGTAAACTGTTGCTACTTTTATTTTTGAGAAACTGTCTTTCCACGCTATGAAGTTAGGTTAGCCCCTCTCCGGAAGATAAAAATCTGTTTTGAAAGATCTCATTTCACAAGACAGGGCAGCACTGTTGCTTGAAGCTGGCCCCTTGGCAAGCCTGACCCAGGCATTAGGAGCTAGCCCCCTGTCCCTCAGGGCTGGAGGAGTCTAGGAGTGAGTGAGGGTGTGACATCACTGTTGGAAGAAGTAGATGCCTGCAAACAGCCCACCACTACTTTGCCCCAGACTGCCCAGTGGTATTACGCGGCCAGATAAATTTAGCAATGAGAATTTTCCCTGGGCTTGTTTCCATGACAGAGTCTGGGACATTTTTAGCGGAGCTGAATTAAGGAGGGCCGATGGCAAGGGGCACACTAGAAAGAATTTTCCCACCCCACTCACGGGTGAAACTTGTAACCATGGGAAACAAATTCTCGAAACCGATAAACGTTTTTGGAACACTTGGGCAGAGAGAGAGAGAGAAAATAACTTGGTTAGGCCCTCTATTTCGTTAGAACCTCCGATGCTGCAGTGATTAAAGCATTCGGCGCTCAGCAAAAGGTCAGTGGTTCAAACCACCAGTCTCTCTATGGGAGAAAGATGAGGCAGTCTGCTTCCACAACAACCAACAGCTTCAGAAACTCTGTCCCACTGGGTTGCTATGAGTTGGAATCAACTCAATTCTGGTTTTTTTTTTTTTTTAATTTCTTTGGTGCAGTCATCAGAAATCCAGAGACTCTGGGGAGGATGCCCGAACTGTCAAGGAAGAAAGATGACAAGGAAACAAACTGGGAAAAAAACGTGCTTGGGATGGCCTGATCATCTGTTTCAGAGACAGGGCACCCACAGCAGAAGAACCCCGGTTCTGTGCAGTCAGGAACGCACCCCGTTCCTGGGTGTCTCAGGCATCTAGCGCTGCTGTAACAGACAGAGCCCAAGTGGGGGGCTTAACCAACAGAACTTATTCTCTCACAGTTCAGGAGGCCAGGGGTCTGAGCTGGCGCTGGGTCCAGGTGAGGCTCTCATGCTGTGGGCTCTGGGGGAAGGCCTGTCTCTTCCTGGCTTCTACTTCCTGGCGCCTGGGCGACCTCACGTGACCTCTGTGTTCCCCCCCCCCCCCCTTGGCTGCCTTCTCTGGTTTACCTCTCAAAGGTGATTACCGGCATCATTAACATAATAAAACATTATTTCCAAAAGGGATCCCATCCATAAGTACTCAAAAAAAAAAACTTAAAGTCAACAAGTCCATTCCCAATTATAGAGACTCCCATTGGGCTTTCAAGGCTGAAAATCTTTACAGAAGGGGACTGCCCCATCTTTCTTCCTGGGAGCAGCTGGTGGGTTCAAACTGCGTACCATTCAGATAGCACTCAAATGCCTTAACCACAACACCACCACCAGAGGTTAGGATGTAGAGCATAATGGTTTTTTGGTTTTGCCTTGTTTTGAAAGTTTACAGATCAGATTCATTTTCCACACAGCAGTTCTTACACATTTTGTCTCATAACATTGACTGCAATTCCCCATAATGCAACAGCTGTCTCTTCCCACTTCCTCCCCACAGTTACCTCTTCCCTGGGTCCTTCTTTCCTATGCATTCCTGCCCCCCTAGCTCTCTCCCGGTGCAAACACTGCCCTTCTGTTCTCCCACTCTGCAACATACATTTTAAGGACACAAATGCTATCCATGGCACCTGGGTTAGGAGTTTGGTGGGATAAAACCAAACCAGTGGCTGTCAAGCCGACTCCAACTCATGACATATCCGTGTGTGCCCAGAACTGGCCTCCAAGGGGCTTTCCAGGCTGCGATCACCAGGCGTCACCCTTATGAGCTGCCTCTGGGTGGGTTCGACCCACCAACCTTTTGGTTAGTAGCTGGGTGCTGAGCCGCTGATGCTCCCCGGGGATCCTGCCTGGGACAGAAGGGGCAACCACGTTCTACGGACGAGGGTCATGATGTCACTTACTTAGCCTGTGCCAGCACTCCAGTCACTTCTGCATAGAGGTCAGCCACAATGTGCATGTTGCCAGTGTTAGGGCCAAGGTACCTACGTGAGGGCATAAAGGGACAAGTCAGAGGGCCCTGGTGACTAGGAACCAGCCGACTCGGTAAGCACCCAACCGCTCTCCAATCCCGAAGTGTGAAAAACTTACCCTTCTTTGTACTTAAAGTGCTTGAAGGCCAGATTAATAATATCATGGATTAAACTGTCTATTACAGGGTGAAGTGGGATCTGAAAGAAAGAAAAGAAAAAAACAAACCAAACTCACTGCCGTCGAGTCGAATCCGACTCATAGAGACCCCTCCTTGGGTTTCCCAGGTGACATCACTACGGAAGATTGCCCAACCTTCCTTCTGAGGAGTGGCTGGTGGGTTTGAACCACCAGCCTTCCGGTTAGCAGTCAGATGCCTTAGGCACTAAGCCAAGACAGCTTTTAAACCGGGAGGGGGTGTTAAACAGGAAGTCAGCAACAGCACTTCTGATAACTCCCTGTGGCCTTCAGCAATCAGTAACTGTAAGGCATGCTGTCATTGTCCTTAGGTGCTGGGGCGTCCACCCTGGCTAAGAGACCCCACGGGACACAGCAGAACTGCCCTATAGGGTTTCCTAGCGCTGTCAGCTTCATGTGAGCAGCTGGGTGGCTGCTACGTTTCGGCAGCCGAGCGTGAAACCACTGTGCCACCACGGCTCCTTAATACATAATTCCCTCGGTGAAGTATTTGAAATTCATGAACAATTTAATAAGTGCAGTTTTTTTAAAAAATGAAATGGTTTTTAGCATAATAAAACTTAGTTAAAAGTAACGTGAACTGAATCACCCACCTGTTTCAAAACTTCGATTAATACTAATGAGAAAATAAAATCAATAGCGAGGTCCCGTCTCTCCATTAAATAATCACGCTGTTGTTCGTCACTGTAAAATTTAAAATATTCAAATTAAACACCATTGCAGGTATTCAAGAGTCACAGAATTCATGTAAAACCTAGGATCGACACCCAGTAACTCGAAGCTGATCGTGGTATCCCTGTGACACCCCAGTGATGGATGTACACTAAGACTGTTCTTACTCTCAGGGTGGTCCAGCAGGCCGATGATAACGCTGCAATCGGAATTAGATAAATTTTCAGCTACGTCAACTGAGCAGCTATTTATGAATCTATGTTCTCATCTTGGAGGCTTGTCTACGCTAAGTTTCAACCCAGGAATCTTACCTCCACAGTACCCCGTAACGCAGACACAAGACTGGAATCTGATCTCCGTGGTACTGTGTGATGCAGACATGAGAAAGGAACCCTAGCCCCATGGTACCCTGTAACACAATCACAAGACAGGAATTCTATCCCCGTGGCACCGTGTGACGCAGACATGACCCAGGAATCTTATCCCAACAGTATCATGTGATGCCAGCACGAGTCAGCACCACCCTATGAGAGGTCTGCAGGGAACACCAGAAGGCACGGGGCTTAGGAAAGCCTCTGTGAGGGGTTCAACTCTGTAAGGGAAGTATTTCCCCTCCTGGAGCAGGACTACAACTGGGGAAGAACCACAGGGTTTCCAACGCTGTGACCTTTGGGAAGCACGTCTCCAGACCTGTCTTTCAAGGAGCCTCTGAATGGATTTGAACCACTAACTTTTTGGCTGGTAGCTGAGCACTTCCATCATTTGTGCCACCTCAGGAAGAAGAGGTAGGGGAGGGAAGATGAGTGGCCTCCACTTATTTAAATGAACCCACTGCCGTGGAGTCGATTCTGATCCATAGCGCCCCTAGAGGACAGAGTGGAACTGCACCACAGGGTCTCCAAGGCTGTCA